CACACACTTTTGCGTCACCATTTGCACGCGGATTTCCCACACAAAACTCTTGTCTAAACGCAGAATAAAAAGTGATGACGCAACGCCACTTTTGCGTTTTCTCTTCAGAATCGTTACTGTGTAAACATAGCCTAAATCTAGTGGGTTTGATGTCTCGCAAATACAATGACGCTGGTTGTGATAATTCTTTCTCGCTTTAGTCCTGTTTACACGAGAACGCTCGCGGGTGAAAACATAAAAATATTTTATCGGATTTGCCTTTCGTTTACACGGCTGACGGCGTTTTGGAGCTTAAAAACGCAAAAAAGTGAAACCACCCTCCAGAGTGGAAATCTTAAGAAACGGTCCACCGCCGCGTTCACGTGTAAATGGTAAAACGCAAAAGTCTGCCCTATGTACGGAGGCACACGGACTTGGTGTTGTTGTGTGGTAGTGCTCCACGTTGCCACCTAGCCGCCTGGAGTGCATACTACATTGAATTTCACACACTTTTGCCGTAGCACCGTATACACGCGGATTTCCCACCCAAAACGCTCGTCTAAACGCAGAATAAAAAGTGATAACACCACGCCACTTTTGCGTTTTCTCTTCAGAATCATTTCCGTGTAAACATAGCCTTTGGCCAATCAGTGATCTGCAGTGTGTTCACGTCACATGTTAGTATCATGCAGTGAAAAAGCGTCACAAGTGAGCCGTACCGTACCGTGCCATGCAGTGGAAAAGCGCCATGCCCATTGCACACTGAGTCCAAAATTTTCGTATGCGTTTTTTCCAACCCGATCTCACGGGAATTCGTATGAATTTTACGAGGTGGCTAATTCGTAACAATTCATACGACCTCACTCGTACGAATTCGTAAGATTTTAGCTAAATCGTACATATTTTACGAATTGGCCAATTCGTATGAATTCGTACGAATGACCTACCTCTGACCCCGCCCCTAAACCTAACCATCACGTGGGTTTAGACAAATCGTACGAGTGAGGTCGTACGAATTAGCTACTTTTGAATCACTCGTACGAATTCGTACGAATAGGTTGTGAGATAGGGTAGGTTTTTTCAAATTCGAGATTTAGTGGCTCTGAATTGTCAAAACACCATTCAAACTGCTTGCTACGGATGTGAAAAACGCAAAAAATCGAACCTGATTAGATTTTTTTTATGACGGATGAAAGTTTCGGAGGCAGTGTGCAAGCGACATAACGTGAGGTCGTATTTATTTTTTAACGTGCGAATTTCGGACTCAGTGTGCAATGGCCTAAGAGTGTAATTTAAAAAAGAAAAATCGGTCATATACGATTTTTCCCCTTGTCTTCATGTATATCTTTAGGGTTAAACTTGCAAAAGTGTATAGTTGGTCTATGAGCGGGTCAGTGCATTTATTACATTAAATAAAGGATATATATATGTATATAAGTTTTTGCATAGCAATTCTTATGATCTTAAATAGTCTATTTCAATTTATTCCGTCTTTTGCATTATTTCTCCTTTAAGGTCGTCTAAAATATATACAGACGCAAAAGAAATTGGTTTTGACAATGCTAACCGAATCCTGGTGCAAATGCAAAGGGTGCTTTTGTATGCAAAACTCATTTTGATTCTGGTGCGCTGTGGTGACGTTTTCACACTTAAAATCTACACATCTAACCAGCATGTGAAGGCCTCAGGGATGTGGTTAACTGCATCTCATCTCACCCACAGTCATGTCAGCTTTTCTGCTATTGTTTGCTGTTTTCCTGTGCGTGGGAGATGATGGCCTATGAAGATGAAGACTGCACTTAAGAGCTCAAGACTAAACATCCACTTGTTTCCCTACATAAGATTATTAACCCCAACCTGTGGATATTGCTCCATAGCATGTTCAAAAATGGTAAAAATTAATAATGCATGAGAAAAAGTTTCCTCTTGTGTCACTCATGTGGTAAACTGAGATTTTTCCTCTAAAGCATTTGTTTGTTTTAGCATGTAATAAAAATACTAGGGCTGTCAAACGATTACTCGCGATTAATCGCATCCAAAATAAAAGTGTTATATACGGGTGCACTGTGTATAATTATTTTATATATATAAATACAAACATATGCATGTATATTTAAGAAAAAAAAAATATTATTTATATATAAAATATTTATATTTATATATAATATAAATTATATTTAAATCTATATACAGTAAATACATGAAAATGTTTTTTAATATATACAAGCATGTGTGTGTATTTATATATATAAAATAATTATACACAGAGTACCCACATATATTATGTAAACACAAACTTTTATTTTGGATGCGATTAATCGTGATTAATCGTTTGACAGCCCTAAAAAATACATTATGTGACATGCATAAATATTCCATACACAATTAGAACTTACAAATAATAGCATTGTATTGTGATACATTTTGCCTGTAAGATTCAAATGTACTGTAAGTAAAATGCTAGTCTGAATGAAGTGTCAAAATGTCAGATAAATATTCAAATTTTCTATATTAATTAGAAAATTAATAAATATTCAAAAAAATATTGACTCTTTCAACTTTTCAGGCGTGCAAAAAAAGCAAGTAATTAATAAATATTGGCTAGAAGTAATAATGAATTTTGAGGAATATAAGCGTTTGCACAATGAAGACAGAAGAAAAGTTTTGAATATTGTCCATGTAAAAATTATTAAAATCGGAAGGATGATATATGAATAAATGGAACATCCGTTGTCATCAATCATCATCAACATCTTTTTTCCACTGTGATGATAAATGGAGAAGTGCGTGCTAATCTTGGTGTTGGTCAGAAATTGTCATCATGGAAATAAGACGCTTCTAAGTAAGTCACAAACACATTAGGTCTATGTGTGACCATTTTTTTTTTTTTTGTGAAAACATAAAAAAATAAAAAGCAACAACTTTGCTTTTTGTTTGTTTTTGCTTTTAGAAACGAATTTCTAAGAAATGATTTTCTATATATATGCGTCTCTCGTTTTAGGTTGCCACACAGGAAGTGGCTCAAATAAGCTTTTTTTAGATGCACTGCTGTGGACTTGAAGTTGCGTATATGCACGTGTCAAGGTTTAGATGTGCATATGGGCTGCATGCTTCACTGTGCATTTTCACAGCATTTTCTCCTTATAACTGCAGTCTCACACGGTTTGAAATCGCTGGTGTTTCTGACGTCACAAACTACCTTGAAACCAATCAGGGGTGCGTTTGCCGAAAGCATGTTAGCCAACTATGGTCGCAAGTTCCATCGTTATCTGCATAGTTTAACGAGTCGGTGTTTCCCGAAACCATCGTTCCAACGGACATTCGCAAACAGCATCGCAAAGTTGTGTGGTTTGAACGACAGCTCTCGACCTGTGATTAGAGGCATCGTTTCTATATTGCATCACATTTGGAGGTAATAAATCCTTATCTTGAGCAAGCAAGCTGACATTCAGTACAACCGTGCCTTTTATTTAAAATAGCCGTATACAAATGTAATTTACGTCGTTTAGTTTCGGGAAACACCGACTCGTTGAATATGCTGATAACGATGGAACTTGCGACCATTTCGGGAAACGCACCTCAGTATTGCCAGATGAATAACAACATCAGTAGGCCTACGAAACACGAACATTTATTTGGATTAAATATATCATTCAGTGTCATTTTTTTATGTCAATCGTTTTACTATTTACATGGTCATGACAAAAATTCTTAAATAATTTTCAGAGAAGTTGACTCATTCTCCTCTATGCTGCGGGCGTTCTCTACGATCGCACCTCGCGATCATTCATTCAACTATTTTAAAAAGACAGGAATACAGCACCAATGCACACTTTTTATTAGTCATATTCATTTAAAAAAAATGTAAACTCAAGTATAGAATATGAGTAGGCAAGGACAAAAATACTGTTGTTAATGAGAAGACATGAGACTGCTGCAGTTAGTGGATAAATATATTGTAATATAACCTTAACCTGGCAGTCAGTGCTAGCAGCTCGGTGCATTATGGGTAATTTTTTATTGAGAGTTGATTTATGTGTTATTGCAGTAAGAACTTTAAGTTTTTGTGATAGTAAAGTTATGTGTGTGTTAATGTTCAAGTTAGAACAGATGTTCTTGGTTCATTTACTGCCTAATGTAAAAATGTGTCTCTCACCATCATGGAGAGAGATGTGTAAGGCAACAGGGCCTTGGCTGAGTGTTTATTTATTTTTTATTGTTTTTTTGGTGTGTTCCATTTTAAAAGAGGAAAATGTATCGCTTGTGTCCTGTTTGTTAATTCAACTAATGTGGGAACACTCTGGGTCGTGCGGTGTATGGGACAAGAGAGTTCTGATCTTATAAATGTTGTTAGTAGTTTAGCTCCGCAGGCTAGATTTATTATTATTTGATTACTACCAGTTATTATAATATTCAGCCTGTTTATTATTCAGAATGGAACAGTTGGAAAGAAAATATATTTACAGGAACATTATAGCAGGCTCAAGATAATTAATACAGAGAACATTATTGCTATGCACGCATAAGTTCCGCATTTGACGCAAGGATGCTCGTCCATTTCCGGTTGTGGAGATTTAAGCGGAGCAAAACCGAGGAAAACGGGATTATGGCAGAGTCTTCAATATTTACTGTCCTCCAGTCTTTGAAATGAAACGTACATACGTTTAGATGTAATTTTATATATAGTTATGTTTATTTAATATAATTTTAAAAAGAAGCATAAACACAACGAGGGGTGTCTGTTTTATCTGTTTTTGTGACTAACGTTTCTTTAGTATAACCATGGAGTATAAAGTTCAATATAAATTCTCGGTATGGCATTACGATCGGCGGAAGTTATCGAGCATCCTTACACCTTCACCGGAAATACCGCCGTGCATAGAGCACCATTTCATAAAACGTAGTGATAATCTGCATTCTCATGTATGGACGCGCGATGACCACACTAACCGGAAACTCCCGATATGTAATAAGTAGAACGCGGAAGCCATGATATTTATCAGTAATTAGTAAATATGCAGACATTGCTGGTTCTGTTGTGTGTGTGTGTGTGAGAACTGATGCTGGTTCTGGTGTGTGAGAACTGGTTCTGGTATGTGTAGACGAGATGTCTCCTGAGGCAAAGTACGTGGACCTGCTCCTGAACCCGGAGAGATACACCGGATATAACGGCCTGTCCGCCTGGAGAGTCTGGAACAGCATTTATGAGGAAAACTGCTTCAAGTGAGACACACACACACACACACACACACACACACTGCTCTTCTGTGGTCTTACAGAGCTTGTTTTATGACCTTGATGTAATTTTCAGGCTCTTCTAACTCGAATGTTGATTATTCTCCTCATATCCTCCATTGTTGTGGCTCCTCTCTTCCCAGGGTGCTTCTCATTTCTTATTTGTGCATCCTCGTTTCCTTTCCTTGTTTCCTTTCCTTGCGTCTCAGCTCCACCCCCTGTAGGACGTGAGGGAAGGAAGCGAGGAAAGGAAAGGAGGACAGAGGAATCGAATAAAAGCTTTTTTATATACATTGGAATACTTGATCACTCGAGTGTCACTCCACAGTGTCATCATAATAAATAATAATAAAGATAGGCTATACTGTTGAAATATCTGAGATGTGTGGTTTATATAAACTGCGAAGGTAAAGTATAAATTAAAATGATTGTGACCGATATGAAGGGGGAGGAGAATTTGCACGTGCGTCACGTTTAGTCAATATAACAGTTCCGCGTAGGATGCACCTGTGTATCCTTGCTTATGACTCCTCAGGAAGCCTCCTCACTCCTCGATCCTCGACTCCTCACGGTGCAATTAGAGAATTGAGATGTCTTTCAAGATGGCTGAGCTCGATCGGTTTCCGGGTCATAGGAGGGAGGACGGAGGAGCGAGGAGACGAGGAGGGATATTGAGAAGCACCCCCCGTCTGTCAGTAACGCTCTGTTCACTTCCTGTCTCTATGAAGCCCCTCCTTCTGAAAAGCACACTGTGCTCTGACTGGTCGGCTGGATCAGTGTGTTGTGATTGGTCGAGCGCTTTGAGTGTGTTTGGGAAATGCCCCGCCCCTTTCCATAACCTCCAGTTTAACACACTACTAACTAACTCAACCAGGCCCCGCCCCTTTATTCTGCGCATGAATTATTATAATGAGGAATATTGTGACGTGTTCCCGGGAGAAACTCGAGACTACAGTGGAGGCGTTTCAGGAGTTCAGGAACACTGACACTGATATAGAGGAGAACTGTAGCAACACACACACACACACACACACACACCAAACGCTTCATTACTGAGAGTGTTTAGACTTTTTGAGGATTAAAAAAAGGAGTGAATGAGTTTTTCTTCATTGTCTGGTGGTTGTGTTCACACACTGCACACACACATCTATATTATGCACACACCTATAAAAGTGAGTTTTGCATCTGATGATCACTTTAACATAAAAGTACCCAAAATATTTCTGAAATGAAGCAGGAAGTGATGCTCTCTCTCTCCTCTCTCTCTCTCTCAGATTGTCCACGAGTATAAAAGAGTTGCACAACTTCTGCACTCTCCTGAAGGACCACAGGTGACCCCAGTGACCCCAGTGCCTGCTGTAGTGCGGTCAGGCCAGCGCGACCCGTCTCAGGGACCGGCAGAACTCCTCTCGACCCGATCTCAGTGCGACTCACAGGAACTCTTCAAGCTCTTTATCCTCCTCTGCATGTTCAAGACTGTGTGTGTGTGTGTGTGTGTGCGCGCGCATACTTCCTTGTGTTCCTCTGTCGACTGCGGTGTGTGTGTGTGTTCCTGCTGAATACTGTAATCTCATTTCTTTTAAATCTCTTAGTAATCCAGTGAACAAGAACATGTCCAGGTCACATTTACTTCAAAATCAGACATAATTATATATACACGATCAGTCAAAGTTTGGGATCGGGAAGATTTCTAATGTTAATTATTCCGTTTAAACAGTAAAACAGTGTGATATTCCTCCAGTGTAATTGTAAATCAGCTGTTTTCTATGTGAATATACAGTAAAGTGTAATTTATTCCCGTGATCAAAGCTGAATTTTCATCATTAGTCTTCAGTGTCACATGATCCTTCACGAAAGTGGCGTGTATGTTTACGGAAAAGTCATGATGTCATTTTGCTCTAAAATGAGGATCTGATGATCAAGACACAGTTATGATTATTATTATCATAAATAATGGAGGAATATTACACTGTTTTACTATATTTTTGTTTTTAGTTGTAACTAAATAGACACAGTCTTAGAGAGCAGAAGAGACTTTTAAAAACATTGAAACTCTCACCGATCCCAAACCTGTGTGTGTGTGTGTGTGTGTGTGTGTGTGTCTGTGTTCTGCTGTTTCTGAGGGGCCTGACGAACTCTCGACTGTGTTTGTGGGATTTCTCCATGAGTGTGTGTGTATAAGGACATTTCTCATCTCAAGTGAAGATGTTTTGTTTTTAGGACCATAGAAATTAATTTAATGAATTTAATGGCGTATTGTTACACATTTTGCGACTGATAACAAGCAATAATGTTTCTCCGGCTAGTCCAGATTCCTCAAACATCGTCATCACACGAACCGTCAACTTAGTCACGACTTTCCCGAAATATTGTCTCAAATTGGTCATTCAAACATCAGTGTTCTTCAATGTTGCTGTTATGATGTCACTCAGCTGGTGGATTATAACTACTTTTAATGAATCTGTTTGAGATCGAATTAATGCTAGAGTTTTTGTTATAAATTACAGACAAATCATTTTTTCTCAGGTATTTTGCTTTATTTACGGATTCAATTTATGTCCGTTCTAGAGCACGTTCGCACATGCGCACTCTTCACATTCACGCTTTAAATCTCTTGACAAACTAAAAGATGTAAAACACATTTATAACACTACATAATATAAATATGTAGGCCCTATTCTAAATAAATTAGATCTTTGAGCTGGTGCGAGTGAGTGGAGGCGGGGCGGATTTGCATAGCCTATTCATAGAACCACGTATAAATGAGGCAAGGGTGTTGGCTAGAGTTACATTCAAGATATTTTAAGGCATGAAGCAATTTATTTCCAAGGAAAAAAAAAAAAATTTTGCTGACATGAGTTTTAAGGGATAAAATGATTACAATGATGACTACAAGGAGACTTTAAAATATATTTTGAGAAATAGCCTGACAGACAATGTATGGCTTTAATCTTTGAAATACTGTCTCTTGCCTTACAATCTGGATGTCATGTTGCATTCTCGGCCAGTCTCCATATGATTTTAGAAGCAGAAGGAAAACAGAATCGATTAACATTTTTTTTCTCAGTTCTCTCTTTTTTCTCCGAACTGAAACACACTGCCCTATCTGACTGTACCCTGATAGCGGCACATTAACTGACTCTTGCTAATAAAGATGCACCACAAACCCAAGTGTAATAATCAAAGCTCATTTATAGCTACACACTGATTGAGCCAGTATATATGGGTTAGGGTTAGGGTTATGGTCAGTGGCTCCAAGTAGACAGCCAGAATGTTTCAAGAAGTGACCTATAAACATGAGTCGGTGTAGGCTACTCCAGGTTATTCTGTAAGGTTGTCCCTCAAGGGTACTGAAAGTCACATTTAGGAAGTGTCTACTACAACTTTAGTTTCTCAACACTAGATGGCATAGTAGGCTTCTAATGTGCTGTGCTGAGAGAAGGATAACTCAATTTAAAAGTCATTTTTCTACTAAAAAGATTACAGTTCCGATTACAGAGTGGATCTGAAACTTTGCAATAATACTGAATTATTATTATATTACATTAATATATATTATATATTAATTATTATAAAAATTGCAATAATACTGAATCTATCTATCTATCTATCTATCTATCTATCTATCTATCTATCTATCTATCTATCTATCTATCTATCTATCTATCTATCTATCTATCTATCTATCTATCTATCTATCTATCTATCTATCTATCTATCTATCTATCTATCTATCTATCTATGAAAGAGAGGGAGAGAGAGAGAGAGGGAGAGAGAGACGTAGGGAATCCCGCTTCACTTCCTTCATTCGCTCGTTAAACCTCCACGAGCGTGAATCAATCACGTGCGCGCGTCAGTCATCTCACGTTCGCTCTCAAACTGCGATCCTGACGTCATCCCAGCGAGGGTCTCTCTCTCTCTCTCTCTCCAGATCACAGGTGTGTGTGTGTGTGTGCGCGCGTGTGTATGAACCTGTCTGTCTGTCCTTCAGACCGTCTCCAGCTCGTATCAGGAGTAAGCGGTGGACATGGGAGACACGCGCGCGCTGGTCCTGCTGTTCGCCGCTGTCGGTGAGTTTCCTTCGGGAACGGAAGACAAACCCTCAGCATGATGTAGTATTGACACGAGGAACAGCGTTCCTGTCAAGGCAAATAGTCAGAAACAGTCAGTGTTTTCTCTAAAGGTGACTAAAATATGCTTCTCGTGGCGACGTGTGAATTAGCTGTGATTTAACATGAACCTGAGCACAGGTTAGTGATTTTAAGGGTCAAATTGAGTAAATTTAACTCTTTACCGAGTAAAAAAATGGATGCACAAAATTAGATGTCATTCAACATCTATCAATCATTCTAAAAAAAGCTTGCCTTAATTTCTTGCTATTATTAGATTTAAATGGCCAAAATGTATAGTAGCCTAATAATTTCAATGGGAATATAAGGCATATTGATATGTTTGCATGTTAAATTAGATCCTATTAAATCTCCCAAACATTATAGCATTGTTCTGCCTTGATTTCTTATTATTATTAGATTTACATGGTCAAATTTCATAGTAAATAACTCAAAGGAAGTATGCATATTTGTTATCAATAACAGTTCTGCCTTGATTTTTTACTTTTTTATTTCATTTGCATGGCCACAATTTGAGTATACCTCAAAATTATTTTCATATTCAAGTATAGATTTGCATATTACTGTAAATGAGATTTATCTCTGAATCTGTTCTGCCTTGATTGTGTTTTGTTTAATTGTGTGGTCAAAAAGTTAATACAAAGTGTTGCATTTGCATATAATATGACTAATGCTCATATTTTCATTATTATAAAATTGCATTGATTTATTATATGTTTTTTAACATGGTCGAGTTGCAAAACCTTAAATAATTCACATTTATAATTAACATGGCGTGTGATGACAAAATGAAAGTTGGAAGCTGAGTTTTATGACATGAATGGCATGTAACCTGACACTTTAAGGTTCTAATAGGTGTTATGTAACAGATCAAAGCATTGTAAGGTCCACAAATAAATGGTCTAATCTCTAATTCTGTTGAAAGCCTTCAATATACAGGGGTTTAAAGAAGCCAGAATGCAAAACACTGATCTGAAGAACCTGTCATGAAACACCAAAAACGTTTTAATTCTCAAAGAGGCTTATAGCAAATCATGAACCATTCTTTGTTGAGCCGAAAAATATTGCAAAGAACCCTTGAAGGACAGCTCATTTATTACTCAGATCAAGCCAAAGAGAGGAGAAGGGCGAAACTATCTACTTCTGTTGCTTTGTATGTTACATGAGACCTAAATAAACCTCTTATTATAGAAATGTATGTCTTAATTTCATACCAGTTTTAGATTTGGTCAACATGTAGAGACTAAATTGCATTTATTTGCATATGCACATATTCTCATGCATGTAAACTAACATCAAACCTTTTTTTACTTCATGTAGGATATATATATATCATCACCTCTCCTCTATTTTCTTGCTGTTCTGCATTCTTTTATAATATAGACCGGTCTCTTAAACACTGCTCTGTCGACTTCAAAGCTGAACATTACGAGTTTGTTATTTCCCCATTGCTGACAGGAATCCCAATGGACTTTTAATAAGCACAAAAGAAAATAAACGAGTATATGGTGAAAATAACAAGGTTTTACAAACACATTTCTCCTGTGTCTTCCCGAGTTTTGAAGTTGCCTTCAGCGTGTTGCAGGAGCTTTCCTGTGAGAAAGGAATATTTTAGGATAGTCTTTTTTCGTTTGGTGTCATTTGCAAGTCTAGTGGGGTGAGAGAGACGGAGTTATCATTAGCATGGCGATTCATTTGCATTTGGAGTCTTTTATGAAAGTGCCATCATGTGCTTTGAAGATAATCCTCATAATCCCATTGTAAAGTGCCTTATGCCAAACTATAGGCAGGACTTGTATGCTTATGAAACTCAGAAATCAGGTTATCAGATTAGCGAATTAGTGATGCTTCCTCAGTTACACCTGCACTGAAGAAAAATGCTATCTTAAAAAGGTTTCATGGGTTAAAACATGTAAAAATAGCTCTTTAATCTGTCTGTCCACCCATCCATCCATTCATTCATCCATCCATCCGTCGATCTAGCCAACTTTCTATCGATCCATCCATCTGTCTCTCTATCTATCCATCAATCTAGCCAACTTTATGTCCATCCATCCATCTATCCATATATCGATCCATCAATTTAGCCAACTTTATTTCCATCCATCTATCCGTCTATCTATCCGTGGATCTAGCCAACTTTCCATCCATCCATCCATCCATCCGTCTATCTATCCATGGATTTAGCCAACTTTCTATCGATCTATCTATCTATCCGTCAATTTAGCCAACTTTATTTCCATCCATCCATCCACCCATCCATCCATATATCTATCTATCTGTCAATTTAGCCAACTTTATTTCCATCCATCCATCTATCCATCCGTCTATCTATCCGTTGATCTAGCCAACTTTCCATCCATCCATCCATCCATATATCTATCCATCCATCATTTTAGCCAACTTCATTTCCATCCATCCATCCGTCTATCTATCCGTAGATCTAGCCAACTTTCCATCCATCCATCCATCCATCCATATATCTATCCATCCATCATTTTAGCCAACTTTATTTCCATCCATCCATCCGTCTATCTATCCATGGATCTAGCCAACTTTCTATCGATCTATCTATCTATCCGTCAATTTAGCCAACTTTAATTCCTTCCATCCATCCACCCATCCATCCATATATCTATCTATCTGTCAATTTAGCCAACTTTATTTTCATCCATCCATCCATCCGTCTATCTATCCGTTGATCTAGCCAACTTTCCATCCATCCATCCATCCATATATCTATCCATCCATCATTTTAGCCAACTTTATTTCCATCCATCCATCCATCTACCTATCCGTTGATCTAGCCAACTTTCCATCCATCCATCCATCCAAACCCATCCACCTATCCATCCATCCATCCATCCATCCATATATCCATCCGTCATTTTAGCCAACTTTATTTCCATCCATCCGTCTATCTATCCGTAGATCTAGCCAACTTTCCATCCATCCATCCATCCATCCACCCATCCATCCAAAATATGAATATTATGAAAATATTACTTCAAAATATCTTAAGATTTTAGGCTGATCTGCTAACAGCCTGACTAAATCAAGTAGTTTTATGCAAGTAAAAAATATAGTTTAATATCGCTAAATCACCAATCCAATTCATTTGATCAACAAAAAAAGTTTCATCACGTAGAAATAGCTCTTTTAGTAAACAATTGCAGGTTACCATTTTACGGTGTGGATAAAATCATAATAAATCAAAATAAAAGGGTTTGATTCGTACTGTAAGACTCATTTGTTCTCCAATTTGGATGAATAAGGTTTTTTGAAAGACTTCTCTCACCAAATCTGCATTTATTTGATCAAAAATACAGTAAAAACACTAATATTGTAAAGTATTATTAGAAAATATTACAAGATTGTATGCTGATCTGCTAAAAGATGCTTTATTTCAGCCACCTAAATCACCTAAATACATTAATTTAAAGCAAGTGGAATGGGTTTAATGAAGTATAGATGTCTCTTTAAGGAAACAACTACGGGTTAGCACTTTTACACTATGGATAAAACCATAATAAATCACGATAAAAGTCCAGACTGAGCTTGATTGTTCTATTTCACACTTTAAAAGCTCTACCAACACCATTTCATATTTGCATCATTGAAATCAAATATGATATAAAGAGCAGTCCATAAAGCTCTGTTGTGTTTGTGTTTTGAAGGGTTATGCCACTGCAGGTCGGTGACGGTGTCTAAGGGCCCTTTGCTCCGGGTCGAGGGCCAGCCGTTGTCTATTCGCTGTAATGTTTCGGACTACGAGGGCCCGAGGGAGCAGAACTTCGACTGGACAGTAACGCGAGGGACAGAATTCATCAAAGTGATCTCAACGTTTGACCAAAAATTCTCAGATCGCTCTCTTCAGGACCGCATAAAGAGCGGCGACATCAGTGTGTTACAACTAGCGGACAACGCAGCGGAACTGAGGATTGAAGAAGCTCGCGTTAGTGACAGCGCCACCTACCAGTGCAGTACTCCCAGCACTGACTCCATCATAAGTGGAAACTATAATGCAAATGTCCAGCTGCTAGGTGAGAATGTATAAAATGTTTTAAATAAAACTCATCTGGCACAAACATTGCATGCAAATGCATAATACATGAATTGAAACGGTTATGCAATGTCATTAATGTCTCAAAGTTGTGCGATGCATTAATTGCTAATGGCTTTTGTTTGATGTGTGCAAAACCATTTTTCCAGTGGAAACGTTATTATTACTAGCAAGACTCTCTGAATGCCAACAGCGTCACTGGGTTAATGATATTATCATCCATTTGTATCATCCATTTGTCCGTCCATCGATCCACCCACCTATCCATCCATCCATCCATCCATCCAATCATCCATCCATCCATCCATCCATCCACCTGTTCATCCATCCATCCACCCACCCACCTATCCACCCATCCATCCATTCATCCATCCATCCATTCACCCACCCATCCATCCATCCACCCACCCACCCATCCACCTATCCATCCATCCATGCATCCACCCGTTCATCCATCCACCCACCCATCCACCCACCCATCCATCCATCCATCCATCCACCCATCCATCCACCCACCCATCCATCCATCCATCCATCCATCCATCCATCCATCCACCCGTCCATACACCCGTTCACCCACCCACCCATCCATCCATTCATCCATCCATCCACCCACCCATCCATCCACCCATCCATCCACCCGTCCATCCATTCATCCATCCATCCATCCATCCATCCATCCATCCACCCGTCCATCCATCCATTCATCCATCCATCCATCCATCCATCCATCCATCCATCCACCCGTCCATCCATCCATCCATCCATCCACCCATCCATCCACCCACCCATCCATCCAAGTCAAAAAAGTTTAATATCAATATGAAGCAGTTGTCCAGCTGTTTTAAGTAGTTAAAACTCATCCGATATAAAACGTTGTGTGCAAATGCATAATGCAGAAAATGTTTTATACAAAAGTAATGTTTTTAATACAAACACACATTTAAAAGAGTTGTGCAATGCGTTAATTGCTAACGGCTTTTGTTTGACGTGTTCAACGTAATTATTTTTTATCTGTGGACTAGCAAGTCTCTCTGAATGCCAACAGCGTTCATTATGCAAAATTCACTGGGTTAATGATATTATCATTATCTTTAGTTCATGAGCACTGACTGAACGTCTTGAAAATTAGTGTAATCACAGTAGATTTGTGGAAGAACCCACAGGACATGTAAAACAGCTTAATTGTTTCTCCTGACAGCCATGGATGAATGAATTAAATGCAAAAGAAGATTCGTGCTGCCTCTCAGGACGAGTCCAGTAATCTCAAACTGGGCTCAGATTGCAATCAAAAGTCAGAGGTCGCAATATGAACTGGAACCAGCATTAACTCCCTATTGAAAATATTGTAAGCTGATCCACTAAAGGTGTGCGTAATGATGCTGACTTCATGAAACCACTCGGTTTCAGCATGTCAGGTGCCGTGCTCCCTCCTGCCGGCTGGTTTGAGGCGTAACACACACTCAGATCGGAGCAGATCGGATCAGTGGGATCCTCACTGATAAACTCAACGGTTAACTGTTGAATGACACGCACTCGTCCCTCAGTGAGTGCCGAGTAAAGATCATATTAATTACAGTTCACTAACCAGCCAAGACCAGGATAGTTATTTATAATCTGCCTATCCATCCGTCCGTCCATCTGTCTATCCATTCATCTGTTCATATATCCGTCTATCACCCATCTGTCCAACCATCCATCCGTTTTTCTGTCTATCTGTCCGTCCATCGTCTGTGAATCAGTTGGACCATCATTCATCCGTCTATCTAGCCATCAGTCCAACTTCCTATCCATCTAGTAATTCATCCCTTCATCTATCCATCAGTCCAACTTCCTATCCATCTCTCAATCATTTATCCCTTCATCTATGCATTGATCTAGCCATCAGTCCAACTTTTTATCTATCCATCTGTCCATCATTCATTCGTCTATCTATCCATCCATCCATCCATGTCTATGTATCCATTTAGCTAGCTGTCTGTCCAACTTTCCATCCATCCATCCCTCCATCTATCCATCATTCATCCCTCCATCTATCTTCCATCTGTCCAACTTTCTATCCATCCATCCATCCATCCATCATTTATCCGTCCATCCATCCATCGTCTATTATTCATCTGTCTATCTATCCATCATCCATCCATCTGTCCGTCTGTCCATCCATCCATCATTTATCCATCCAGCCATCCGTCCGTCCATCCATCCATCCATCATTTATCCGTCCATCCATCCATCCATCTGTCCGTCCGTCCATCCATCCATCATTTATCCATCCATCCATCTGTCTGTCCATCCATCCATCATTTATCCGTCCATCCATCCATCTGTTCGTCCGTCCGTCCATCCACCCACCATTCATCTGTCCATCCATCCATCCGTCCAGCCATCCATCATTTATCCGTCCATCCATCCATCCATCTGTCCGTCCGTCCATCCATCCATCATTTATCCATCCATCCATCTGTCTGTCCATCCATCCATCATTTATCCGTCCATCCATCCATCCATCTGTTCGTCCGTCCGTCCATCCATCCACCATTCATCTGTCCATCCATCCATCCATCCATCATTTATCCGTCCATCCATATATCGTCCATCATTCATCCGTCTGTCTATCCATCATCCATCCATCCGTCCATCCATCCATCCATCCATCCATCCATCCATCCATCCATTCATCATTTATCATCCATCCATCCATCCACCATTCATCCGTCCATTTGTCAATCCGTCTGTCCATCCATTCATCCGTCTATCTATCCATCCATCCATCATTCATCCATCTGCCTATCCCTCCATCCATCCATCCATCCGTCTGTCCATCCGTCCATCATTTATCTGTCTACCCATCTACCCATCTATCCATCCATCCATCCATCCATCCATCCATTTTTCCATCTGTCTATCCAGCCATAGCCATCTGTCCAACATTCTATCCATCCATCCATATGTTCGTCCTTCCCTCTGTCCATCTATTTGCAATGGAAGAAAATACATACAGTTTTGAAACATGAGACTGTAATATGAGACTAGTGAGTTTAGTCCATTTACTAAACAAGTAAACTACATATTTACCCTGCAGTCATAATTATAGTTTCCACTCATTTATTGATCATGTTGCATGCTCATCTCTTCCTTTCTAAGTGTTTAGGCCAACAATTCTTAATTGTGATCTAGCCAGTAAAGCGTTGTGTGGATAGAGCTAACTTATTTTCCTGCTGAACCTTTATCACATCTGTTTCCACACGATTGGTTAAACGTGTCGATCTGGTTCTGTCACTGTGATGAATGACGTCATGTTGTTCAGACACAAAGTCGGCTTTTATTGTCAGACTAACATTGTATCTTTCCAGACATGTTTTGTGTTTTATTTCATTCATATGTGTGTCTGTAAAGCTTAGTCCAATGGTTTAATGACACTGTGCAATAACATTTTCTGCTCTAAGATTACTGGAGTGTTCAAACAAACAAAGTCATAATTACTGGTTGCATTTGCCTTAGAATTTTTGGCATGTTAAACTTTAACAGCTTATAATGTTGATGTCAAATTAAACCGAGGAAAGACACACTGACACACCCTTTATCTTTCTATTTCAGTTGTTCCTAACAGTCTCATCGTGGCTCCCGACACCCCGAACGCTGTGGTTCCCGAGGGCGGATCCATTAGACTGCTGTGCAACGTCTCCCGCAGCTTCATGGAAGGGATTTACCTGTCCTTAACCTGGTCGGTCCAGAAGGGCTCGTCTCTGCTCGAGGACATGCTGACCTTTGGTCCAGATTTGGGTGTGACGGTTGGCGACGGGTTCACGGGACGCTACACAGATGGCGGGATGCGTCTAGAAATGGGAAACACAGTCTCACACAGTCTCGTGCTCTCCGGAGCGAGGCCGGAAGATGGAGGGATGTACGTGTGCACAGCCAGACTGTGGACGAGAGAGCAGGGAGTCTGGAACAGGATTCAGGAGAAGGCGATGGAGATGGGCGGAGTGACTGTCACCCCCACAGGTGAGTTCATTTCAGGTGCAACATGATAAAAATAGACTGGAGCATATATAGCGCTTTTCACAGTGTAGATTGCATCGAAGCAGCTTCACAGTATCAATCAAAGCATATTGACAATGTTCAAAACATCCACGTTTGGTAGAGCTGATCTAGGGTGTTACTTAAATAGTTTAAGAGAAACATTTGAAACAAAATCTATATTTTTAGATTTTCATACTTTACTTTTATTTATTTACTATTTTTGTTTTTATTATTATTAATTAGCCTAATTTTTGGATTTTCAAACAAATATGTGTTCTTTTGCTAATTTTATTTTTTAATTATGTAAATTAAATTATGTATTCAATTAAATTAAACTGTAAATGATAAATTATTAGATTTTTTTTAAATTATGTATATTAAATTATGCATTACAATAAAGTATAATTTATATTAGTTTGTTTTTTAAAATTGTTTAAATTAAATTGTGCATTCAATTAAATAAAATATTGTCGAGTTTCTTAATTATGTTTATTAAAATATGCATTAAATTGAAGTATAAATTATAATAGTTTGGTTTTTAAATTGTGTATATTAATTTATGCATTACATTACATTATACATGATATTATTTTTTGTTTGTTAAAATGATATAATTTATATTATGCATTAAATTATATTATATAATATATTGAAATGTATATTAAATTATGCACAAAATCAAATTAAACTATACATTTTATTGTTTTTTAATCATGCATTAAATTAAATAATTAATTATATTATATATATTTTTAAATGGACATTAAATGATGCACTAAATCAAATTAAACTATACATTTTATTAGTTTTTTAATTATGCATTAAATTAAATTATATTATATATATATATATGTCTAAATGTACATTCAATTATGCACTAAATCTAATTATACTATACCTTTTATTAGTTTTTTTACTTTTTTTAATTATGCATTAAATTAAATTATGTATGAAATAACATTTTTAATTACATTTAAATTATGTAAAAAAATATGCATGGTCAAATCTTGAAAAAAACAAACGTCCATTAATATTAAATTGTGGTTTTAAGGGAAAGTTAATGTAGCAAAAATTCTGACATGAACATTTGTGAGTGAACTATTCTTTTAACTTGTCTGTTGTGTTTTTGCTTATCAGTTTATTTGTGTTGCTGTGCCCTCCTGGCAAACTGTTATAGATTCATGATCAAAGGTTATGCCATGAAATAATCTGATTTGATATAATTAAAGTACTTCTGATGAATCACTGTTATGTAATTTGCTCAAATAATCTTTGATAAAGCTAATAAATAAGTTGCATTTGGAGGAAAAAGAAATGAAAGAGTTTCGATTATGGTTATTGAGACGTTCAATAAACATAATCGAAACTCTTTCATTTCTTTTTCCTTGAGAAGAATGGATGTGCTCTTCTGTCCAGTTTTATCTTGTTTAATGTCTTCAGACCTTTCTCACAAACCAGGCTGTCTGAATCCTCATTGCCGGTGAAATTCCTGTCTGGTTACCATATATACTGTCAATGTTACTGCAGAGTTTTTAATTAAAATCAGGACGAGCTCCAGAGACCCATCCAGCAGACGTTACACACACTTTGTGTTGTTTGAGATTGTAACCGAAAGATGTTAGCGAACACAGCCTGTGCAATCTAAGCGAGATGTACTGAAGATCACATTGTTCCCCAGAGAAATGATTGAGAGTTTGCTGGGAGAAATTAAAGGAATAGTTCCCTCGTTTCCTCACTCATGTTATTGCAAAACCATGTTATTACTTTCTTTTTTGTCAAAACTCAAAAGTAGATGTTTTGCAGATTCTTCCTGCTACTATGTTTTCATATAACAGAAGTAGAAACAGCTAAAAGTGCCATAAACGTAGGCCTTTAAAGTGCAATAAAACGAAGGTTTCTGGAAAGTTTGCATTTGCAGACTGTGTCAAACTCCAGAACGAACAGGTTTTGGTTGATTTTGATTAATATGATGTCACACCAGTCGTTCTTCGTTTCCACTTGGCGTATATCAGGGCCTTTAACATCAAAACTAACATGATACTGTACATGACTATAAAGTTTGGGTCTGTTCCTCGCATCAGGTCTTCTGAAAAACTTGAAATAAAACATAATGACTATTTAGTGTTATGGGATTGTTTATATATATATATATACTGTAAAAAAATGGTGGTTTAACTTAAAAAAATTAAGTAACCTGATTGCCTTAAAATTTTAAGTTCATTGAAATGGAAAAATTGAGTTAATACAAAGAAGGAGATTGATTTAATCACCAGAAACTCAAAATATTATGTTATCTGAACTACATAAATAATTTAAGTTGATTTGACAAAAGAAAAAATGTTGTGATTACAAATCATGAAAATATTTTTGTATACAGTGATGCTGGGTTGTTTCAACCCAAATTTGGGTCAAATATGGACAAACCCAAAATGTAATTAAAAAATTTACAGTTGAAAGTGAAAGTTGTCTAACCCAACATTTGGGGTTGTCCATATTTGACCCAAATTTGGGTTAAAACAACCCAGCATTTTTTAGAGTGTATATGTATATAAAATATTTTTTTTATGGGTTTAAGTTTCAGTATGTTTATGCGCTTTTCTCATATTTAGTATTTTTTTATTTAGCTTCAATTATTTTTCTTAATTTGATTTCAACGTCATTTTATTTCAATTAGTTCTCAAGGCAACATCGTTAAAAAACTAGCTTTAGTCAACACTTCATTTTAAGGTGACCTAGTTACACATACTACATATAATAACAGTACATTATGCATAATTACAAGTAACTAACCATAATCCTCCAAACCCTAACCGTAACTCTATAGTAAGTACATCTATTTTATTAATACTTATGTAACTACGTCACCTTCAAATAAAGTGTAACGTAAAAAACAACATCACCTTCAAATAAAGGGGTTACACTTTATTTTAAGGTGTCATCGTTACTGTAAAAAATATTTTCAAGATTTGTTATCACAACATATTTTCTTTTCTCAAATCAACTTAAATAATTTATTTAGTTCAGATAACATATAATTTTGAGTTTCTGATGATTAAATTAATCTCCTTCATTGTATTAACTCACTTTTTCCAGTTCAATCAACTTAAAATTTTAGGCAACCCAGGTTACTTACTTTTTTAAGTTAAACCAACAATATTTTTTTTTACAGTGTATTTTTACACTGTATTTTAGTGTATTTTTTTTACACTATATTAATCACAACATTTTTTATTTTGTCTTAAATAATTTATTTAGTTCAGATAACATATAATTTTGAGTTTCTGATGATTAAATTAATCTCCTTCATTATATTAACTCACTTTTTCCAGTTCAATCAACTTAAAATTTTAAGGCAACCAGGTTACTTACTTTTTTAAGTTAAACCAACAATATTTTTTTACAGTGTACAGTAATATTAAGCAACTACATAGGGGTGTTGATGGCGCAGTGGATAAGACCTTTGGTGTGAGAGACCCGGGTTCGAATCCACTGTGAGACACCAATGTGTCCCTGAGTTCGACCTCTGACATATATAGCAGTTGTAAGTCGCTTTGGCTAAATGAATAAGTGTAAATCTCTTGAAACCCTCAGCGAACTCCCTGGCGGTGTGGGTTCAGGACGACAGCACTCTGCCCGCGGGAGAGCCGCTGCTGCTCACCTGTGCGGCGTCTGTGGACGGCGAGCTCTCCGTGGAGCTGGAGGTGACGTGGATGCTGAACACCAGCCGCACGCTGGCACACCTGAGCCGGGACGGCCTGAGGAACGTCTCGTCCGAGCTCGTGGACGTCAGGCGCCTGGGGAAGTGGGACTTCCAGATGAAGGTCGACGGCGTGGAGATGTCGGACGCAGGACTCTACTCCTGTAAAGTGAGCGTGTGGCTTCAGCAGACGAGCGGACGATGGTACAAGGCCGCCGAGAAGATTTCTGACCCCGTACGAGTTCACGTCATCAAGCAGAGTAAGAGAAATCATCCCCGTTACACTGACATGGGTGACATTTGAATAAAATGCCATCTGAGGCTCTTTACCAGTGCGTATGAATGCGTTCTGCTGATACACTCCATAAAATATTCATTTGATGTTGATTATTTGGTATTTAAATGACATTAAAAGCATATGTCGTTTATATTGGCGCACTTTTGAAAATATCTTTCCATATGTCAGCTCAGCGTTTCAGTCCACGGCCTCGGGTCGTCTGTTCCGCGAATCATCTTTTAATAGACAATTAGGGACAATTACGTCTGGATGAGATAGCTAAAATATAATTGTTGGCTTTGCAGCGCGTATGAGTTGCATTTATTGTGTAAATAAGTTTAATGAATCGTTCAGTAATAGCTGGCATATTTAACTAACACACTTTAAATGTATTTTTAAAAAAATCCACGCTTTTTCCACTGAGAATAATTGTATTTAAACACTTTCATTTACTCTAGTGTTCAACAGGTTGGAAAGTGACAGTACACTCTCAGAAAAAAAGGTACAAAAGCTGTCACTGGGGCTGTACCTTTTCAAAAAGTAGACTTTTGTCCATTTTAGGTGCTAATATGTACATTTTAAGTAATATGTAAAATTTAGGTGCTAATATGTATATTTTAGGTGTTAATATGTACATTTTAGGTGCTAATATGTCCATTTTAGGTCGTAATATGTACATTTTAAGTGTTAATATGTACATTTTAGGTGCTAATATGTTCATTTCATGAGCTAATATGTCCAGTTTAGGTGGTAATATGTCCATTTTAGGTGCTAATGTGTACCACTAAGGTACCAATATGCTGCCTTTGGGTACAAAAGTCGGCCTTTTGAAAAGGTACAGCCCCAGTGACAGCTTTTGTACCTTTTCTTAAAGTGTAAAGACATTTTATACAAAAGATTTAATTTCAAATAAATGCTTTTATAAGATCAAATAAGAACTTTTTACTGAAAGATTCCTGAAAAATTAAATGTATCACATGTTCCATATTAGAGTTCATATTAGAGTGATTTCTGAAGGATCATGTGACTCTGAAGACTGGAGTAATGATGCTGAAAATTCAGCTTTGATCACAGGATATAAATTACATTTTACTATATATTCACTTAGAAAACAACTATTTTAAAAAAGAATAATATTTCAAAAATATTCCTGTATATTAATCAAATAAATGCAGACTTGGTGAGCACATCAATTAAAAAAAAGTCTTACCAACCCCAAACAGTAGTAAATATGAAAACAATAAACAGACATACTTGCATATACTGTACATATTTGACAAAATATTTTAATATGTGAAAAGTGAAATTTTTTTTCTTAAAACGTTTTTTATAATGGAAATGAATCGCCATTTTTGAAGTTTATGTTTCTGAGAAGACATTATGAAATATTTTGACCAAGTGAAATAATAATAAACATACTAAAATGTATGTTGCCAAATGTAACCGTATATAAATATAAAATCTCATCATCTAGACCACTCGACTGGTCAGTTGTTAACCTGTCCGCCCGTCAAGTAAAGGCAGAAATGTGTGTGGCAGTGTGTTAGTGGTAGTTTAGTGCTGCTTCAGTCAGGAGATGTGCGTGTGTTCGTGTCTTGTTGCAGATTTGCGTTGTCTGGCCTGTGGGTGGTCGTTCTGATGGAGAACCGCTGTCTAGATCTACAGGCTAAAAGCCAGTCGCTCATGGAGAAGTCCCAGTTAATTGCTTGGGATCTCGTTGTCAGCGTGATTAACAGGGAAGAGCTTCAACCTGTTTATTCTGTTCCGAGTTACAGAGAAAGAAGACCGTAAAAGGGAAGCTCTGGAGTTGTGTACTCCTCCGGAAAAAGCTGAATTTGGTTACAGTAGATTGTCAAGATCCAAAATTGACAGAAAATATCATCAGTCGTGTAAACTTGGTGTGATGCGTCTTCATGAGCCGTGTTTGACTTGTAAAATACAGACATCTAAGTTATTATTCACGTTAAAGCAGAAGATGCAGGTCTGAGATTAAAAGGTTTCTATACATGTTTCAGATTCATATTCTTATGCGTAAAACAGGCTTGTCATGTGTTCGATCATAGTGGTGTGCAACTAAAACTAAAATAAAATATTATATAAAAAAACCTAAATAAAAATTAGATATGTTGCTTTGAAAACTGACTGAAATATGTTTAAGTTGAAGCATCAAAATTACTAATTGGGAATATATAGATGACTAAAATTGAGCCAAAACTGGAGAAAAAAAAAATCTAAATAGTAATATTTAAAAAAATGGCTGACAAAAGCACAGAACAAACTAAATGACTAAAAGCTCAACTAAAATTAAAATGAAACTGAAAATAAATAAAATCTACATCAAAATATAGGCTAACTGAAATCTACTGTATAATAGTATATAAATAATAATATTAAACTGGTGATCACACACATTCTATGCATTTCGTTATTAATTCATGATTTCACACTGTTGGAATGCATAAAATGCTGTGTATTTTCTTTTCTATCCAAGCGTTTTCAGGCCAAAGGGGCGAGCTTCCTTTATCAGATTTACAAGGGAAAATTAAAAAAAAAAAATAGATCAATATTCTTTAGTGTGAGTAAAGTCAAAAGTTCTTGACGCCAGTGTTGTTATTGGTTAATAAAACTATTGTAAAATTGATTGTGCTAATTGAAGTACATTTGAAATTAAATAATAATATTTAAAAAATATTATTGTTCTGTTGGCACTAACAGAAATAGACTAATTACTAAAACAAAAACATAAAATAATTTTAAAAATGAATAATAAAGCCTAAATATAAATTAACTAGTAAAAATGACAAAAGCACTTAAAATGACTTAAACATAAACTAAAATTAAAAAGAAAATGGAAAAATATAAATAAATATGAATACATACATATATATATATATATATTAAAAAAATGTTTTATTTGGAGTAATGATGCTGAAAATTCAGCTTTGATCACAGGAATAAATTATAATTTAGTTTATATTCAAACAGAAATCAATTATTTCAAGTATTAATAATATTTCACAATTTTACTGTTTTTACTGTATTTTTGATTAAATAAATGCAGCCTTGATGAGCAGAAGAGACTTCTTTCAAAAACATTTTTAAAAGTCTTACTGATCTCAAACTGCTGTTTATATTTTTACTTGTCCGAGTTTTTTCCTTTAGTATTGGCCAAGTGTTTTTTTTTTTTTCTTTCAGATTCCTAGAGAACAAAAGCTAGATTTAGGTACGGCTTAGTGGGTTTCAATGGGTTTTAATGGAGGAAATCTCCACCAGCATTGCACACAAACAGCCTTCAGAGCCATAAAGACATCAGGTGTTGTGTGTGACTTCCTGAAGTGGCGTTGGTCGGTGTTTTCAGGGCCAGATGTGACCATACACATCTTTGTTGGTACACGTCTGGAAACACTAGAGCACAACGGCAGTTTGATCTAAAAAGAAATTGCCTCCAGATCGCAGGACTCTTGACTTTGACTGACTGCTTTAAAATAATAATTTGAAGGGCATTCGTTTTTGCTGGTTACAAATCTGTGGTAACTCCACACCCGCTCTTTAATCTCGGAGAATTAAATGCTATTATTCATTTTACAGGCCTACAACTCCTGTAAAAACATTAAAGAGAATCTCATTGTGTTTACAGATCTTTAAACATGACCTATTACACCCTTTTACAGAGTCTTGATGTGTTCAGGCTCTACTAGAAGAGGTTTTCCTGCTTGAATGTTGATTATTTTCCTCGTTGTTGCGGCTCCTCTCTTACGCTTTGTTTACTTCCTGTTTCTATGAAGCCCCTCCTTCTGAAAAGCACACTGTGCTCTGATTGGTCGGCTGGAGCATTGTGTTGTGATTGGTCGAGCGCTTTGAGTGTGTTTGGGAAAGTCCCGCCCTTTTCCATAACCGGCAGTTTAACACACTACTACACTCTAAAAAATGCTGGGTTGTTTTAACCCAATTTTGGGTCAAATATGGACAAACCCGAAATGTTGGGTTAAAAATGTAATGTACAAATTTAACCCAACGGCTGGGTTAGTCCATATTTGACCCAAAGTTGGGTTAAAACAACCCAGCATTTTTTAGAGTGTAACTAACTCAACCAGGCCCCGCCCCCTTTATTCTGCATATTAATATTTAAATGAGGAATATTGTGACGTGTTGGTTCCTGGATGAAAACAGTGACACAGTGACAATAATTATATGCTAATTATACATATAATGAATAATTATATCATGCTGTGGAGCTTCGCAGAGCTTTTTCATGCTCAAACAGCAACATTACACAGGTAATCTCTTCAAAAGAGCAACTTTACACTCGCACTCATTCCCGTAGAACAGCTTTGGACGTTTTGGCTCTCGTTCCGGTCTCATGCCGAAACACAGACCTGCAGAACTACTAATGCTTGAACTTGAGAACATGTTTTTGTGTGGGACGCTGAAAGTATTATTGTTCTCTCCTTTGTTTTCTCACTTCCTTCTCTTTAGACGCTCTGCTGAAAGTCAGCATGAATACTCTTGCCTTCTGGGATCATCTTTATGATCAAACTCAAGGCAGAATCACATTTAATCGTCTGAAAACATATTTGGTGGACAATTTGAAACTTCTACACTGTAAAAAACAATTAGTTCAGTTTACTTGATTTTATTATGCAAACTCGTTGCCTTAATTTAATTTAGTAAGCATAACTTAATTGCGTCATTTTATGCAATTTATGCTTAATTGCACCATTTATTCTGACTTAATCCATTTAAGTTTTGTCAACTTAATTTTGTCTGTGATCTGAGTGCATTGCGGCATGAATAAATTCATTGCTTTGTTTTTCTATTTTTGGCTTTATTTTACCATTACAATTTCATTTGCTATCGTTATTGGGGATATGCTTACGAGACAAAAAAATTGTAATGGTCAATTAATTAAATCATTTAACCCCTTAGCTGTCACCCCCCTTTTTGAGAATGGGGGTTAAAATGCACTATTCAAACTTAAATGGT